TTCCAGAGTAACCAAGAATGTTCCTGTGTCAAAAAACGTGACACGGTTGTGGAACACCTAGGGCTGCTTGGTAACATACATGGGGTTTGAATTGGCCTGCTATCGAGAAAAACGCGATACCAGGCCCTTGTCGCAGACTGGCGATAGAAGACGAAAGCCGAAAGCTGAAAACCGTTTGTGTACCGAAATAATCCGAAATAATCCGAATCAAAACGTTCACCGAGGCGAAGCCGAAGCGAAGCTATACTGCATAACGTTAGACTACAACCCGCACTACAGTCCACACTGCCTGTTTCGCTTCGATTATTAACTATGAAGCAAACCTGGTCAATTTTAAGGTCACAAAGTGTCCAAGGAAACAGACATCGTGGCCAAGAGGGCGCGTTATGTTCCAATGTCCTACAGTATTCATCCGCGCGTTTTCCACGTTTGAATCGCGTGGCAGAGAGGACAACAGCACCAACTCTCATATTATTATTTTGCAAATACGATAAAACATTTCCACAGGAACGGCTTAAATAAGTGAACGATTATTCACCGACCTCAAAGTGAATAATAGTTTTAGCATGTACCACGTTAGTGAGTCGTTAGTGAGTAAGCGAATAATGTGTATTTTTGTCGAAATCATTCCAGATTAGACCTAACAGGATTGAATAGGTTTCGTTTATTGATGGATCAATCAATTAATCAGAGGATTCGAAGTATAATAAATATATTCACCAATGTGGTACATACCAGTTCAATAATTATCTCCTATGTTATCTACACTATCCATTGTTTTTAACCAAATCAGATGTGAGAGAAACCGATGTCGTTTCGATATTCCTGTTTGTCCATTCTTGTTTTGTTGTTCCAGTTGTCCAAATTGTTGTGCTTCGTGGAAGTTGCTTCTACTTAGCTAATTTACTCTATAACTGTCTCAATGTTCGGCGATGAATTGGCTCTTCTTTATCCATGTCCTAGTATATAACTTAAGAGGTCTTAACAACTGTTTTCGAGTTAACTTGTTTCAATCCAGGCTCCAGGTGATGCTCCATTTGCTCCGCCAGATACGAAGTCTACCAACGCCTACAATTTGTAGACGGTCTAAGCTTCCTGCGCCTGCGAAGTGCAATGCAAGCGGATTCCTTGAAGAGACTCGTCCCACAAGGTAACGCTAGCAAAGAGACATGTGCATATCTGGTTGTTAACGCCGCCTGCGAGCGAGACAAGCCTCCCAGGAAATTTTAACTAACTTACAAGCTATGCTCGCTGACTGTTCACTATCCATATAGATGAAGGTCTTCTCGTAGGATGCGTCTTGTTGATCAAGTGTCCGGCAGATCGATTTTGGAGGGCAACTACACTAACATTTGTAAGCGAGTTAACTAGGGTGTGTGCTCTGTCCCAGATACCCAATACACTAGAACCTAAACTAATTAGCTACCTGCAACTAGAGAACTTGCAGCTTAACATGACAGGTGAAATCCTCGTTCCTCTGTTAAGCTGTCCGTCTCTAGTTTCTCTGGTTTTAATTGAATTAATTGTCCGTCTGGATGAACCTTGAGCCGAAATAATGACGACCCTGTTAATAACAACGATAATGCTGTCATTAAAGGGAAAATTTCCTATCAATAACAGTGATATTGCTGTCATTGGAAGGAACTCTGTATGACAAGAAAATTGTTTTTCAACAATTAGAAAACACTAAGCGGGAGATTGCGCAGAAACCAAAGAATTGCCGAAACGAAGCCGAACTGGGCCGACAAAAGCCGAACATTAAATCTTGAAAATTAAATCTTGTGCCGGACATAAAATCTTATGCCGAAACATTTAACGAATGAAATATCCGAAGGCAAATTATAAAACCCAGGAAAGGAAAAGGGGAGGCCCAACCCAAACCACCCAATGCTAACTAAACTACCTACGTTAAACCGAATCAGCCGAATATAAGCGAATTTAAACCGAACGTTGTCCGAACGTTGACCGAGTGTAAGGTTCATCCAGAGCTCTAGCTAGTTACCCACCCTACCCTACCCACAAAGAACTGCACTAACCACTACCAAAAAGGAGAACTTGTGTCCTTCGTTGCCAAGGTGATGTTCATAAGATTGGTCGCTGATATGCTGAAGTTTTGAAGGGTTGCACTGGAATGGACTGCTGGCTCAGACAATAGACCGACTGCTCGACGAGCGACGATACTGAAAACTAAGAAAAATAAAGAAAAAGTCAATTTTTACTCGCAGCTAAATTTCCTAAAGACGCGTCATACTTGATTACATATTTTCAAACACGAACAGAAAAAAAAATGATGAGTTTCACTGAGGCACAATTTCAACTGTGCCTCAGTGATTAAAAATGGTGATACACGAAAATCTTGCAAGTTTAATAGATTTTTTTAAATTTGTTTTACTTATTCTTTAAAATACGATTGAAGGCATATTTCTCTGACATAAAAAGGAGAAACAAGAAGTCAAGTAAAATATGCTGAGCCGCTTTTGATTTCAGAAGAGTCATTATAATTCATAATTTCTGACACGCCTTCCTTCCAGTCAAAGTTTACGTTTCTCAATTTTTGGTTATTATTTAATTTAATTCAATTCTTTATTTACACTACACATACAATTTATAAGGTTAAGTACTGAAAATAATTAAATAGCAAGAAATGTGAAGCCGTAAATAATAAAATAACTAACATATATTTGTGAGCGGTGACCAAAGTAGCAAGAGCTTTCTGGTTGGGCACCGCCATGGTCAAGTAGCTTCAAGTAAATGGCAGCATAAAACATTTATTCACCTAAGCTAGACCTACTTACACTACACTACTATACAAAATACAACGTAAAAACCCGCATAAAACACACTAACATGCATTACAATTGTGGGCAAAAATAAACAAACAAATTAACAGACAAAAGTACATTTACCTGAAATGATTATCGGGAATTGTACCGTAACGTTTGCACATCTCACCGCCGTAGTAAATTCGCGAGGCTGGTTTGGAAGACTTTTCGCTTTGTCGGGGCTTTGAGTAATTCCTTCAACTGCTTCCTGAATTGAAAAGAGCAGAGAAAACTAACTTGAATATCTCGCCAAGAACAGTGTAGTTATGACTGAAATTGTTCCATCCGAAATTAACTTCGACTCAGTGTCAGAACAAGACAATTTGGTTCCCATGAACTGACAGTAAAACAATGTCTTACCTACCGTATCTTTCTCGGCTAATAGTTCTTCTTGTGATTCTAGACAGAGCTTCAACTCTAGAACTATTTAACTTGGTTCTGTTGTCGCAAAGAGACAAATTTCTGGGCAATAATTTGGGCTTTCAAAGATTCACCCAACGTAACGGCTTCTTTCCGAATCCTTCACATGTACAATTTGAATAACTAATTTAATCTGGGTGCCAATTGTCTTACGAAAAGTTCTCGACCAAAAGAAGGGATGTGATTGGTTCACAGTGTATGTTGATTTTGTGCTAATCAGATGATTGTCTTCAAGACAATAGCCGGTAAAAACTTATGCGAGGCAAAAATTGATTTCTACAATACACAGCTCTTGCCACCAAAAGTATTCTTGACCCTGCCCTGTAGCAGAAAATTAGCACGAGCTTTGATATAATGATGTCGACAGCAAAGAATTTTTAGATTTTGATAATCGAAATATACTAGTGAATCTTTGACGTTTTGATACCGTATATATACACCTTACCGACAAGCACAATTTAAATAACTCTGTTTTTTTAATTTGTAGACCGTGTTTCGAACATTCCCTTGCCATACAATGAATGGCTTTAGACGTTTTCTAGTTGTTGAAACTGGAATTGTATTCGACCGTTAAATTTCCAACTTTTGGCTGCATGGGTATTAGTGAAATTATTTAGATTTTTTAAAAATACTTCTGGGCGTCTTAAAGTCTGTTTAGTTTATACTGCGCAAATTGAATACCTGGGCAATATCGCACCACTTGAACCTAACAAACTTGGATAATATTTTGGCGCATGTTTCTCGAACAATATTTCACGCCGAAATCAACAACATGAAAAACTCTGGTCTACTTTTGGAATAACAAATGAACACACTACAAGTGTTGGGGCGCATACAGGATTTTACTGAGAGAAGGGGATTCGAGATAAAATTGAGGTCCTCGGAAATGGGACTTTCGGCATTCTGAGGCACAGTCAGTGTGTTATAATTTCTCATATTTTTTTTTACTTAGGAGGCTCGACCGAAGTGAATATATGAAAGATCATATATTTGAACAGTTATATACACAACTTAAGCAGCTGTGAAATTTAAGCCTGAAAAAAATTCAGGCTTGAACGAGATTCGAACCCACGACCGTGCAGTTCACAGCTACTTAAGTTGTGCGTATGCCTACGATGATCTTTGATGTCTTCATATTTTTCTCCGTAGCTCAATTATATGATCTTTTATATATTCACTTGTGTTCTTTATAATCTACGGCCGGAATATTACGATCTTACAATAGCCCATTGCAAAAACGTGAGAGGACTAACACGAGTTTCTTATATTGATTAGATTGAAAATCTAAACGTTTGAACTGAAATGTTACTGAATGAAAAGCTACCCAGTCAAGTTTGAGAGTTTTCAGCGGAAAATTGTCCAAATGGGAGCCTTGCAAAAGCTGCAAAATTCCATACAAACCCTTACAATTTTGTGGCCTGTCTACCCAATCCATACAAACCCTCTTTTTAGGTGATATTTGAAGAGCTATAATTTTGCCATTTTCCTCCTCTAAATACTTCAATTCTTGCTTAAGACTCTCAAGTTTAGTTGATCTTTCATTTGAATATCTTTCCCACTCTTTCCCAGTCCTCTCACGCTTTTGCAATGGGCTATGTGACCAGCTCCCAGTTGGCTTGATAGCACAGTTGGTAGAGCACTGCACCGGTATCGCAGAGGTCATGGGTTCGAATTCAAGATGATGATCATTGATGTCTTCAAATGAACACAAAGTGCATGAACGAAGAAAGAAATTTTATTTCACTAGCAAAAAATACTAAATATAGTTTGGTGTCTTGGGTCCGATTTTCCTTCACAGGAGTCTTGACATAAATAATGAATTACATCCTGCTTCTACCAACAAGTCGCGTTTCCCTCTTAAATTTAACAATATCAATATAAATATTTAAGTTGAGATATTGTGAACATCGCTGTTTCTAAGAATCATTGGATGAAATGAAATACGTATCACAAAGCGGCATAAAAACTTCACCGCTTTATATAGCAGCTTGAATGTTCCTACAAGTCAGCTTTTGATTCCAAAGGCATCGTTTGATATAAATTAATGGCAATAGATAGATGTTTACATGTTCTTCGTTTTAAGTCGATTTGTCCCGTTATCAAATTCTAGAAATATTTTTATTTCTATTTCTACTGTAAATAATATCTATTTCTAATGTAGTTTATATTATTTGCATTTTTGCATTTATTAGAGGGCCACAAGTTCATCAGTAATATTATTTACTGTTACGTGTTACCCTCAAACAAAAAAGTCTCTTAATATATCGTGTGGCTGACCTTACACCAGTTGTGGCCCAAGTTTATACTTATAAAGTCAAACCTACCACTAACGACCTCGTCGGGTGAGGAGTGAAAATTTACAACGTCTGTCCCGAAAATTTGTACTTTTGATTAGAGATAAATTCTCATCGCAGTCGCTAGCAACTCCTAAACACATCGGTGTATTAGTAGCCATGTACTTATATATAAATAGTCTTCCAACTTTTTCTCCTGCAAACAGGAACTCATCCCCAGTTGCGCTGTCGCATCCCAACTGTTCCTGTGACTGAAGCATTAACCAAAACATCGAATCAATAAACATTGAAACAAACCTTTGCCTTTGGGGGGGAAAATGTCGATTGTTAAAAACTAAAATTAAAAACAAAAGTCGCTAGTCTATTTTAGAATTTTCTTAGCTTTAAATACTGCGCAACTGACACCAGCACTTCTAGAACTTTCTCTTTCGAAGTGGGCCTGTCGGAATGCAAGCCGATGTTCCGTGTGCAATGCTGTTAAGAATACTCAATTAATTTGGATTTTTAGTTATCTGAATATAACTTAGATGTCCAACACAGTCGAAATAGCCGTCAAGATAGTCAAAATGAAACACATAGAATTATTGATTGATTGAAAGTTAATTGTGCCAGATTTTGACAATTTTGGCGAGATTTAGTTCCTTTTACCGATTTTTTTTTGCCAAATCGAGAAATTTAATTCTCGCAATATATCCCCGTTCCATTTTTGCGAAATTAAATTCACGCGAAAATAAGCAACAATGAAGTATTTGCCGATTAAGACTCACTGAGCCTGAGGCGAATTCTAAGGCCCGTCCACGCTACGCTGGAGCATTTTGAAAATGGAGCTTTGTTTCTCCTGTTAAGGCTTCCGTCCACACTAATCCGTCGCGGAAACGGAGCGTTACGAAAGCACTCTGGCCTGTAATGGAAGAATTTGAAAACACCGGCTTTCCGCTTTTGTGGGAACAGAAAACATTTTAAAAACGGAGCTTTTCAAAAACGATTGCGTCATGATTATCATGTGATTTCATTGTCCGAGTTTTCCTCAAACAAATATCGAAAATGACCGGTGATTGTTCCGTTTTTAAATTCCTCCGGCGTTGTGCGGACGGAAAACATTTGATGCATTTTCAGGAGTAAAATCTCCGTTTTCAAATCCCTTCGGCATATTGTGGAGGGGTCTAACAAAAATTCACTGAAAATTCACGACGAAAGGTCATTTCATGCCATCGATTTGGCCTGATTTAACTCACCTCAAAAGTGATACTCGTGCCGTTGACGACTTTCAGGGCATATACAGTGCCGCTTGGTTCATCAGTGAATTGAATACACTTCCTTCCTCCAGTTTTCACAATCATAAATCCTTTTATGAATGAAATTCACTTATCAGTAAAATTAAAGCTTTGAACACACTGACTTGTGGTCTAGTACGCGGTAATTAGTACTTAACAATCTACATAAAATGATTCCCTAAAGGTAATTTTAATACTCTGAGCTACTATGTACTGAAGACCATGGAGTTTGTGAAGTTTACATTACAGTGACGGATCTAGCTAGGGGAGTGGCCCCCGGGGGCCCGGGTCCCCCTTATTTTGGGTAAAAAAAGAAAAAATCGCAGAAGGAAGAAAAGCCGGCAGGGCAAGCAAACCTCTCCCCGCTCCTTAGCTGAAGGTCTGGATCCGCCATCGCATTATTTGTTTGATGTAGGTCATGCAGTCATAATTTGTCGTCCGTAGTTTACTTGATTACTATATAGTTTATGAGTTTCGCTAGTCGGTTTACGTCATTATTTTGTCGTTTGTACTTTTCTATAAAATATGTCGGTCATTTAGATCTTGCAGTTAGTCGAGTTAGGTCCGGCGTAGACTTAGCTGATGTGCATGTATGTAGGTCGAGTATTTCAATTACTTACGAAAAGAAGTTTCCGTGGGTTTCAGCAGTTCATGTAGTTTCTCCATGACTAATTTTATTCAACTAATTTTGAGGATCCATGGCCAATATTCAAAATGCAAATTTCAAAAAAGCGTTCTGCCGTAAAAATTAAGGATTAACATTGACTATGAACTTTTGATATAGGCCGACTGCTCGATCTCTTCAACTATCAAAAAGCTCCGTTTTCAAACCGTGCTGTTTTCCCTCCATACGAAAACGAAAAGCCGGCGTTTTCAAATTCCTCCGGTTTGAAGAGCGTATTCGAAAAGGTCCGTTTTCGTGACCGATTAGTGTGGACGGTAGCCTTAAGTGTTGACCGAAACTGAGAGAATACCATGTTGTTTCGGAGGTGGGCAGGAATTGTTGTCAGCTGCAGATTCGATCGTTATTGCCCTCTTCCATGACTTGAAGGTTTTCTAATGCAATTATTTCATTTTTCAATAATTGTTGCCAAATTGCCAGTTGTATGATCTAGAGTCCATGCTTCGGTTTCAATTTTAGAAGCCTTAGCACATGCACATTCTTATGTAGTTGTATGCTTTTTCTCTTCGGGTTTTAAACAATGTAACCCCTGAACATGGGGCAGAAAGGATGTTTTCTGGTTGGTTTATTAGTGATTTGAAGGCCATAAACTCTAAGAATTCGACATCGTTGTAAATAGAATATTTGTAAGACATCATAAAAACAAACAAATAATGTCGACAAAGTTTAGTTTGGTTTTGGAGTGGAGACAAGCGTCATCATCCAATTTCTTACTGAGTTAATAATAGGCTTTGTCGACAGGGACAACAGTAAACAAAGAAACAATTTAAGTTTAAGTGGCATGCCTGTTTACTAGCTTGGTGTATTTAAGCGCATTGACCACAAAAACAACAACATTTGAACATTTGAAAATTTGAGCAATCTCAAAGGACACACAGTTCCGTCTTCTTGGATTTTGCGTTGGAAATCTTCTGTGAATTTGGATTTGAAAAGCTATCGCGATTTTGGATAGATTTCTAGGATGTTGCTGAGGAATTTAGCTGTCTCATTTATAAATTGCAGAGCGAATACATGTCTCGATGGGTCTGAACGGATGGCCCTATATGTGATGTTTGATAGAGCCGCTTAAACCATCATTAGATGTATACCATCATTAGATGTGAGTTTTAAGTAAATTCATTCATCGATCAATTGTTTGTTTCTTAAATTCAGGCATTGAGGCCATTCGCGGAGACCTTGCTGTAATTATTTCATCACGCATTTCATTCGGCCTCGAGGAGACATCTTTTTGTGTCATAGAGAGTCTAATCTATGACTACAAAGCAATTTCCTTTGTCGGCCTCCATGATGACTCCTAAGCCGTCTTCCGTCTCCATGCTGTTTTTTTCTCTTTTGCGATGTTTCTGTAGTTTGGTGGGCAAGCCTTCTGAAGGATCGCAGTCGTAGAAGTTCGTACGTCCTCTTTAGATTCGTCACTTTGACCGGGTATTGCCAGCTTCGACTTGGCAATAGTGTCCTTAGCTTGCGCGGAATTTTGGACGGTGATGGGGCAAACACCTCCTGGAGCGTGCCCGCTTCCGGAAGGATATAGCATTTGTTATAAATAAATACCAACACTAGCACTTTCAGTATTCTTTGAACATTCTTTGAACATATAGTTTTAGTTTTCCATTTACGCGAATTATATTCTGTATTTATAGATTTTTTATCCGTTGAAGACAGGAGCCAGGGTGGAGAAAGCTAGAGGGGACTCTTTCATCTTTTGTTCGGAACTAACTTTTTTAGAATAATCAGAGGAACGTAGCATTTCGATAATTCCACAGATCATGGCAACCATATGGTTGAAAAGCATCAAACTTAAAATCGTGGAAAAGCCTAAACCACCGAAAACAAACAATAAACAACACAATCCAGGAAACTAATAGCTCCAAAACTAAGAATAAATTCATAGGATTTTCCCCGAGGTTAACCCATTTTATTTGTTACTTACTCGTCTGTGCGTTATTGGTAGAAGACCCATTGCATTTTGGTTTACATTGCCGTTTCCCAGCTGAAGAAATCCTGCAGTCGTTGGTATCTATCTTGATAAGATTGCCTCCACTGCAAGAGCTTTGTTTTCTAAAATGTGAACTGAGACTCTTCAGTCTTGAAAATGACGTTCGCAGGCTTGATCCTAATTCTACGCGGGCCAACGTACACCCAACTAGAGTCTAGGAAAGGAGAAATGCACAAGAAGACGAAATGGAGTTGTTAAGTCCTGTCCAAACGGGAAATGTTTGGCGAGCAAACATGATCAAACAATAGTTTGGTGACCAAACATGTTGATGTTGTATTGAGTGCCAAACCGTATCAAACATGTTTGATCGCCGTCCAAACTTACAACGTTTGATTAACTGTTTGTCATCGTTCAAATTTTATCAAACAAGATTAAACACCATAGGATACGATCAAACAAGGGGTCCAAACGGGAAAATGTTTGGTCACCAAACAATGTTTGAACGTGTTTGGTTGCCAATCATTTTCTGTTTAGACAAGGCATTAGAGGCCCATATGACGTGATCATATGACGTGACACACCAGTGTTTCTTGCAGTGAGAAATTTGTTTGAGGTTGAACTATCCTCTATGTTTTTTCTTCGAATACCATCGATTCATAATTACGAAATTAAGCGTACATGGAAAAAAATTCTAAAGAAAACTCCTACTCTGAAACTATGCTTTTTGGACAGAAGAACGTACATTCCATATGAGCCATTCAGAGTGAATTTCTGACAAATGTTCTTCTTCGGTATGATTAAAAATGAATAAAACAATTACATAGAGAAAAAACATAAGAAACTAAAAAACAAACGTAGAATATCTCAAACTTTAAATTTCACACTAGAGAATTTATCACCAGCATTGACACATTTACTTAAGTTGCCAACTTACCAGAAAAATACGTGTTACATCCATTTCTCTCACTCTTTTTCCTGCAAACTTGACTAGATCAGGTTTAATGAAAGTTCCAGGCCTATTCATATAACCTTTATTTATATCATTTAACATTCCCTTGCATACTTTCGGAATAAGGAATTTTGTCCCTTTGACGTTCAAGACCACAACATTAAGAGCCACACTCAAAACTAATTGACGTCGAAAAACCTGGCCTTTTATTGTTTTTAATACTGTTCTACTGTCACAAAGATAGCCGGAATTGTTTAGTGTTAAGTGTTTTTTTCCTTCAGCAATTGAAAGGTCAAACATTTGCTGAATAATGAAAGCGGAATATTTGAGAATGAAATGTAAATTATTGGAGAAATATTAGAAAATCTAAGATATCTGGTAATCCCTGGTTAATTGAATCAAATTCTCAAACAAAACAGAAGTGGAAAATGATTTTGAACAAGTTTTTGTTTTCTTCAATAATAGGCATATTGCCATTTTCGGTTTTGGGCTGGAACTAGCTAGCCAGCAGTAGAGGCCTCCTGCGGGGGAATATCATCAACAAAGGGGTTAATGTAATCTGTACATGAAAAGACTCCTCGCATTAGTCTCAGTCACAAGCTAGTTCCAGTCCAATACCCAGAACAGGAAACGGGTCTACTGAAAGGTCAAAAATGTGCTGAATAATACGCGGGATAAATGACTATGGAATATAAATTGGTGGCAAAATAGTAAAAAAAAAAAAAAAAAAAAAAAAAAA